GCTTTCTCGCTTGCCTCCTCTCGTCCAAAATCCGCATTATGATCACGATCGGCCCTACCAGCAGCATGATCGCGCCGATGGACACTAAAGCGACGGCCGTCGTTGCGATGTTTTCGTTCACGCGGGAGAATTTTACTTTGCTTTTGTCCGTCCTGATGGTAAATTGATCCTGATCGGCCTTCTTGCCAAGAGTGGACGACGTCTCGTGCACCGTGGCTCGTGTCGCGTTTTCTACGAGATCGAGATCCTCCTCCTTGCTCAAAACCGATCCCGCAGTCTTGGATTCCGAATAATCCGAAGTTGAAATGACGTCCTCTTCCGCATGAATGTTACTTGAAATTCCGTTACCGAGAATATGCTCCCTGTCTCGAGCTATTCTCGAGATCTTGTTCATTGCATCTTTATTCTTGGTCGGAACTGCGAGAGGATCCGCGAGAAAGAGCGTAGATGGTTGCTTCTTCGAAAAAATCTCGGATGCGTCCTTTAATCGTTCGTTTCTAATTGCAGTTAATCCAGAGAGATTCGTATCATCATCTAGAGATGGATCTATCTGAATTATCTCCACGTTTTTGATGATCGGTTGTTGCTGGGTGGATAGATCATATTCGTGTCTCGTAGACGATACGACGGACTCCAAACCGGTCGAGGGATCTACCTGTAGAAAGGTAAAAAGTACGTTATGTATGCGTATGGACAATTTTATATAAGTAGAGATAATTGCGATTACACAACACAAAAACTATGCCTGTACATATATGTATGTATATACAATCTATACACGTAATAATTATTATAACGAACCTTCCCAGCAAACGAAAATGAATTGAAATGGATTGGAAATTTCCAATCCATTCGAATCCGTATTTTAAATCCATAAAAATGAATTGAATTCCATATAAAAAAATTTTTCTACATATGTAAAAGTTTAAATAAATTTAAGTAGTAAATTACAATTCTATAGTTATTATTTTAAAACTTTTATACAAAATATGTACTCTGGTTATATAATAAAGGAAAACGTATTAAATATAAAATATACATAAAAGTGATTAATTTATTAATTAAAAATAAGGAATTTATATATGTAACATTTATTGTTCATATTTACGTAGCTCTTTTCATGTTCCTTTTAACTATTAAATTAAGTAAAATTCTCTCTCTCTCTCTCTTATGATATATTTTTACAGTACAACTTTTTTTTAATTACTCAGTTGAATCAAAATGAAAATTTCTTATTCATAATTCTGAATAAAATAACTTTCATGATGCGTTTTTAAATTAAATAATGGATTTTCTACTCACAATTTTGAATTAAATAGTATTTATGGCCCACATTTTAAAAGAAAAACTTTTTTTATTCAATTGGATTAAAAGATTGCATTTCCTACTCAGAATTTTGAATTTAATAGTATTCACGATGCACAGAAATAGCTGATATTATTTTTAAATTCAACTAGGTTGAAACACTGCATTTCCTATTCAGAATTTTAAATTAAGCATTTACAGTATTTACAATGCACAGAAATGGCCGATATTATTTTTATATTCAAATGGATTAAAAAATTGTATTTGCTATTCAGAATTTTAAATTAAGTAATACTCACGATGTACACAAAATACTATAATATTATTTTTGCATTAAAAAGCATAGAAACATATTCTACGTCTATAAATGAATAAAAATTCAGGATTGAAAAGAATTTATTTTAATATTCGTGAATCCATATTTCTGAAAATCTGAATCTGAAATTTTAATCCATTTCAATCCGTTCTCGTTTGCTGGGTTGATAATAATTTAATTATATTTAATAATTATTTTATTAACAATCATATTATATAGTATGATAATAAATATTAGTAATGATCGTTATAAACAATTATTTTATGTATACATTAAATAAATATATATTAATAAGACGGCTATAATAGACCTTGATAATAATAATAATTATACAATACAATATAATTATTAATAATGGAGATTATACTAATTATTATAAATGCAATTATTACATATGTGTATAATAATTGTTTACATAATGAGAGTAGAAAATTACCTCCATTACCTCGACAACATTGTTGGTTTCCAAGATTCTCCTGTGCAATGTGCTGGCGCCTCTGTGAAGAAGAATGATGCCAACAGCGTTCCAGGTGACCAGCTGTAATATAATAATTATTCTCGAGGCCCATCTGTTTGTTCTCGAGGTGAGGGACATTGCGATAACATCACATCATTCACATCGGTTATTAGTCGAAAGTCAAAGGCGCGACACCTTTCGCACACCTGCTGCGAAGTGTCCCGTGGTTAGCTAAGCGACATTTTCGTCGTTATACACATTCGTGTACGACGATTTAGAATCTTCGTAGGCGGCAGGCATACGACGTATATTATACACGGGATATCGATGCCGCGGATACCGGCGGAATTTAACAATTTCTTCATTTATTCGTGCCGAGATTAAACACGTTATATACTCTCTCTATACGTTTCGTCACACGTTTCGACACGCCGTTCTCGCGGCACGAAAATAAATTCTATGCCAAATCTTGTTATCTATTCGTTTCATATAAACACCTCGTCGTTTCAGGCAACACGTTATAATGCGAGAGACGTAAATCCGTGAAAGCACAAAGCTGGCGCCTGCAAAAACAAATATCGTATAAATTAATCACTTATTTGCTCTTGAGAGACGCTTTATTTAACCGGATAGTCGATCGTCAATTTTATTACGAAGGCAAAATTTCAAAAATAGGCTTTGCACGCGCAGAGGATCATTCTCGAGGACACTTTTCAATTCAAATGCATTAAAGCGCATCGGAAGGAAGCGCTCCGATGTCACATTATGACGAATTGTGACGTAAGTGATCGGAGCGAAAGAGAGAAAAGGAAGTGCGGAAACTTTTTTGTTTAACGTTACTATATATTGGCTGACGACTATTGAAGCAGTCGTCGTCCTCGGCGCGGCACGATTGCGACTTATTTGCTCGGTTATACGCGATGGGTCGTGGCGGGTAACGAATGACTCATTTCCACTACCTCGCGCAGTCCCGTTAGACTGTACGTACGTTTCATGCGAGACACGGGACAGTGCGTCCATGGGCGTAAGCGAAAATAAAAAAGCCGATGTTCGTGCACTTAAGCATCACGATAATTATTATGTAGCGTTTTAGTTAAGTACTATTACATTCGGCACACTTTTGCACCGAAAATAGTTGGAGTGCATTTGCTAGTAAAAGCGGCTACGGTATTTTTTACTTCACATTAAATCGTAACGAAACTCACCGTTTATTATTTGCATTCAGAATCTAATAGGCGGCAACATCAAGAATGCAGTATCATATATATATAGTTTAATTATGTCCATTTCTACCACACACACACACACTGTAGAGTAACTTTAATCTCAATTTAACTTATTTTTATCTTCATTCTACTTTTAAAAAAATTATTCCTAAAAAAGATAAAAATATAAGAGTAAATAAAATTCAAATTAAATTAAGTCAAATTGATGGAAATGGGCCTCACATGCGGTAAAGTATTACGTATAAAAAATATCGAATCTTAAAAAAACTCTTGAAACGTAATTGTGAAAACGTACGTAGGAGAATACGAGAACTTCGGAATAGAAATATAATTGTAATGACGGCAATAGGCGTCTTGTAATTTATATAATTTTTTCAATAAGAATTATTTGGCACAAATTGACGCATATATACAGGTAGGTCACTGCTATTCCCACTATATTTAAATTATACACTATTGTGGACGTCTCATTATACGAAAAAGATTTTTAGAATCTTTTTTTTTAGAATGAATAAAAAGGAAGATTTTGTTTAAAAACACTAAAGATAAGTGAAGGTACGCGCGATTGGTGGCGTCATCTAGCGAAGAAAAATACAAGTAGTAACAAACGGCGCCACATTCAGTCATGTCAGAAGCGGACAACTTCGTGCTGGTGACTCGTCGTGGAAAACGTCGTAACGGAAGAAGGAATTTACGTGGAGACGCTCCGTCGAGCGTGATCGTAGAGCAGGACTGTGAGATCGATCGCGAGCTTCTCCTTCGGTAAGCCACGATTGCGTCTTGCTATCCTCACTTAATTTTAACCTAACCTAATCTAATGCATATCTCGACCTACGTTTAACCTGTTTGATTCTAATCGCAATCACGTTTCTTTTACGGCGACTTTCAGCACGTTAGACAAGGCGGTAGTCGAAATCAGAGACACATCGTTTACCAAGTTCATTTTTAGCCGGCTGTCGGAGTCCCTAGCCATTTTAGGCTCTAACAGTATTTCCGAGATCGTCTGCTACGGGTTAGGACAGTTCTCACAATATAGATCGTCGAGATGCCAATTGGCGCTTCTGCTGTGTCTGAAGGCGCGATACGAGCCCATTCGCGTACACATATACGACCCGGCGTTCCATCCCGAGGAAGTGCAAACTTTGCGTACCTTGGGATTAGAGATCATAGAGACAAACGAGGAAGGCAAGCGCGTCGTCCAGCGAGATAGGACCACTCTCGTGTACATGCCGCACTGCTCGCGGCAGCTGACCAATAATTTCCTATATGCAAATTGGAGTGATGGACTGAGCAGTTGCATCCTACTGGCTAACAGTCTCTCAGACATCGTCGACAATTCCTTGCATAAGGACGTATTGAATACAGCGGGCTACATATTACGCATTCGACCTTATGTTACAGAGATTCGATTGGAAAATTCCTTCGTGTACGAGGAAGTTTTCAACGACCTTAACATTCATATCTTTCCAAGACAAAATCTGCTTAAGGTCCCAGCAGATTTCTGGAACTCTAAAGAGGAACCACAGTATCTAACGAAAGACGTTGAATTCGTTACAGCTGTGCAGTGACAAATGATGTTTGATACACTGTAATTATCTCCTTTTCTTACAGAGTTATTTGTGTAACAAAATGTAATTCTTATTTCTCAATACTCGAGCGACTAATTATTCCAATTTGCTTTTAGAATACAACGACAATGAATAGTAATATTAAAATTGTCCGTTCTCTGGTGCAAGAACTGCGTCGAGTTTCACAGACTAAAAATACGAAAGAGAACGCAATGTTACATTATGTCATGGAACAAGCACATGCCCATAAAGAAACTTCCGAAGTTTTATGTAAAGCACGAGAAGAATTAAAGAATTTAGCAGAGATGTATCTTTGCTACTTGAAGTCTCAGCAAGCATGTAAGGATATTCATAAACAATACGCTGGTAAAGGTGAACGTAGCATAAAGGAAACTGCGGATCTCGTAGGTTTTAAATTACCTCATGATCCAAAATGACATATATGAATCAAAATAGAAATGTTTAAACTGTTGTTGTGATAGGAGTATTTGTACTTTGTACTATACTTATCTATATTTATTGTACTTCTATAAAGATAATTTAAATAGTAAATTTCATTAAAGATAAAACTGTAATTTTATTTTATGTGTAATTTTATTTTTATATATCACATCTTTATTATTTATATCATAAATCTTCCAGCGGGCGCGCCATATACAGAGAACACCGTAGAATAAGACTAACGATTCGAGAGATAAAGCATAATATCGTCAAATAAGTATTATGCGATGAAAGTTTATGATATCTAAATAATCATTTATTTAAAAAAATATAAGTGTTACCTTTTATTAGAAAATGTATTAATAAAAAAAAGTTTTATGCGCTTTCAGTCGTAGTATAATTATTGCAAATAATAATTATCGAATGTTTTTTGCAAGTAAAATGAAAACATTTGTTGCATTTGAGGATAGTGGTTGTATTTTTGCACAACTTGTACCTCCCTCGCTTTTCATTGCCTCGCGATTCATTGAGCAATTTCTGTGTATCCACAGGAACATTTTTCTGAAAAAATGCCCTGATATTTTAAAAATTGATTCTACGTAAACAACATACGTTAACAAAACGCAACTTAAGCGAATCGACGGCCCGAAAGACACTGAAGGAATATCTTGGGAAGCCGAGATCCAGAAAATAGATTTTACCTGCATCCCTTTCATAAAACCGGCGCGCATGTACGGAGAACATGTGCGTGCCCGCTGGAAGATTAATACAGTATAAAAAGTATCATTCGAGATATATATCTCTATTGTTTATATCTAAATACTGTAATAAATTTATTTCGTTGAATTTCGGTACTTGTTATTGATTTATAAAACAATACAATCAAATAATGCCTATTCGAGTCAGCGCAAGACATACATTTCGATCCTGTTCCAGATCCTTATCAATGCTCCATGTAAATTATTAACAGAATTCAGTCATCTAAGAATAGTAATATAACAGTGATGTCATTGTACTTCCTGGTATAATGATCATCGAAACATTATTAAGCTGTTCATGCATCGGACATTGAGTCTCATTTGATTTTACATGGAGCATTGATAAGGATCCAAAACAGGATCGAAAAAACATTTGCGATTATAATTATGTTGATTTGAAATAAATCAATTTGCACATTGTCATCCTGTGTTGGCTCGAATAGACATTATTTGATTGATTTATCTCAATCGAGCTTTAATATTTAATTTATTAATTATATTGATTTATAAAACTTATATCAGAATTGGGTATTCCTTATATATTTGATATTAGTCGATTATTAGAATATAAAAGTATAAAAATATATTTTTAAATTAGGAAAAATAGTACCAGAGAGAATTAAGGGAGAGGGGAGCGGAGAGTGTTGTCTTCTCTAATTGGTTCCGTCATTTATTGTACATTTCCGCAAATATGCATATATGTGTATGTACATATACACAATACTAGTGCGGTAATAATACTATACCTTCTACTCGGTGTGTGCAGCACCGAGTAGAAAATATGGTAGAAGACATGTTTCATCATACCTTCTATCATATCTTCTACTCACTCCAATGAACGGTGGCTTCCGGCTGAATCCACTCCACTCTCCCTTGATTCTCTCTGAATAGTATATATGCTATTTTTCCTAATTTTTAGTATTAAAATTATGTGTAAAAAATAATCTTATATATTATAAATGTATAATGTTGAGGATTACTAATTTACGAATATTCCTTGCGTATACATTTTGCAATCGTTGACAATTGCATATTGCTTGTACCTTCGTAAATCGTGCCGATTTTGGCATCCCTATAATATTTCTCCTGAGGAAAATCGGTTGTAAATCCAACACCTCCCATAAAATCTATGCACTTTGTAGTGACACGTGACGCAGTTTCTATAAATATGATATACATATATTAGCTTTCACTATATATAGCCTTAAGTTTAAGTAAAGTAAATTAAAAATTAGCAAGTTATATACCAGATGCAATTAATTTAGCCATAGCCGCTTCTTTCATAACATCTTTTTCAGCATCTACCAATCTAGCTGCGTTGTAAACCAATAACCTGGCGCATTCTAAATCAGTTACTGCTTGAGCTATTTGATGTTGCATCGCCTAAAAATAGATTATTTTTTAGATCTTAGGTATACACGGATATTTCGTTCATTGAATAATAAGCATACTTGGAATGAGAAAACGTCCTTTCCAAATTGCTTCCTTTCCAGAGTATATGGTATGGTTGCATCTAAACTTCCTTGTGCAATTCCAATCATTTGAGCGCCAATACCTACTCTACCTTCATTCAGAAAACCAGCCGCATACTTATATCCGTGTCCAAACTCGCCTAAAATATTGCTTTCAGGTACCTAGAAAAAAATACAAGTTATAATAATAGATGTACATACACGTTGTAAGAAAAAGTCTGTTCTTTGTCGTAACCAGTTCTTTATATACTGAACTACATTAAAACTTTCTGTTTCGCTTTTGTTAAACTTTAAATATAGGGGAGACCGGGACACCATGAGTCACAAAAATTCGAATTCTTAAAAGTACACCTAAATATAAAAATGTATGTATCGAAGTAACAGTCGTATAGTAGTATCAATTTAAATTTAAGACTTAAGAAACAACCGTATATATAAATACAATGATAGAGAACGCAAACACAGTTTAAAGTTAGATGTTTTGGATAAGATAATCTTTATATTAAATCAATTTATTTCAGATATGAGAGAGAGAGATTACGTGTGGAAGATTTTTCAACACAATCAATCTGAAATGATAATCCCCCCAAATCAAACTTTAAACCGTGTTGACGTTCTCTATCATATTTAATTTAAGTTATTCTAGATTATATTTAACTAATAAACAATCGATGACTCATAGTGCCTCGGTTTTCCCTATATCTATTTTACTTTAAATACAAACGTTAGTTCAGGAACAAAAACAGATCCAATAACTGATATTTGCACGATATTTTTTTATAATTTCTGATACATACCCTGACATTATCGAAATGGACCATACAAGTTCCAGATGCCTTGATGCCTAGCTTGTCTTCAGGTTTACCTACAGTCAAGCCGGGCGTATCGCGATCCACGAAGAAAGTCGTAATGCCGCGGTATCCCTATTTAATTAAAAAAGCGTTACGTAGTTACATTAATGATTCCATTTGATTACATTAATGTTTCTTCTTTACATAATACAATATACATAAAACTTTGCTCACCGCGGATGGATTTGCATTAGCGAAAACCAAGAACACCTCCGCAATGTCGGAATTGGAGATCCACATCTTTGTTCCATTTATTACATAATCGCTGCCATCTTTTTTCGCTACGGTTTTAAGAGCAAACGCATCCGATCCGGAATTAGGTTCCGTCAAGCAAAAGCTACCAGCCTAAAAAAAAATATCACAATCGTATATGTTTTATTCTGTTTTTTTTTTATTTATACATCAGTAACAAAAGCGTGACAAACGTACATATTTTTGTGCTAATTTAGGCAGATATTTTTCTTTGTGTTCCTTAGATGCAACTTTGATAATAAGCGAGTTTACCAAAGTATTATGAATATCTACAAGAGCAGCTACGGATCCGTCGACTTTCGCTACTTCTTCAACGGTTAAAATTGTGCTCATAAAATTGCAACCTGCACCTCCGTAATCTGTTGAAATTTGTAGACCCATCAACTGAAATTTTAAAAGTTTAAAATGTTAAAATAATATTTCTTTAATATAATATTTCTTTATTATAGTAATTTATATATCCAATTTAAAGAGAAAATTACGCGCACATTTATTAAAATATTATGAAACCGCCTTTACCGCCTTTAACGCAATATATTTGTTCTTCTATTGTCCGTTCTACCACGTTATGATACGAATGACTGTGTTAGTCACACACGAGATTTCGTTTTTTAAAGAATAACAGTTGAACAAGTGGGTACTGTATTATACTTCATATAATAATAATATCAATTTGTAATTATATTATACTTTTATTACATAATATTTTATAAAATTCTATAGAATTAAATAAGTAAAATGCTAAATACGGTCGAAGCTCTGTAAGATGTTTATTTTTATGTAAATATTAAATACATTTTATTTTTACAAATTGCGCACCGATTACTGTCGGATTTGAAACGTAATCGCAAATTGAAACTGAAATATTAAAATCACAAATTAAATTGGTCATTAATTTAATAAGGATGTTGATAAGCATCTTAAAAATCTACGAAGAATTTACTGAGCAAAATATCACATGTAGTAATGGGTGTTTAATCATATCTCTTGCAAATTTGCAATCAATTTAGTCATTGCTCTGCTTCGAAACATTTCGAATATTATTCGAAGATATAAACTCATAAGTCTTGATAGATTTTGAAAATCTTGATGAGTCTGATAATTCTCGATTTCTTTGATTAAAATAAATTTGTTTGAATTGAAGAAATTTGAACTTGCTCTCTATAAGGTTCAAAAAAAGTTTCTTTGATTTAAACGTCATTTCTTTGAAGTATTATATTTAATTTATTTAATTTTATTTATTTTTTATTCTCTAAAATTAAACTAAAATTACTCTCTTAACATTTTATTCTCTTTAAAATTTTCAAAACCTTTCATTTAAAACATTCAAAACCTTCAAAAGATTTTTAAGATTGTATAATTTCAAATCATATATTCAAATTAATTCATATTTTTCATGATATATTCGAAGCATCTTGATATCCATCATTAATCACATGGTCCGGATGATATTTTAAGTTCTTCGCAAGCTTTTAAGATGTTTATTAGCATTATTAAATTGATAATGAATTTAATTTGTACTTTTAATATTTCAGTCTTTAGTTTGTGATTATATTTTAAATGCAACAGTAATCACCGCACAGTTTATATAAAAATGAAAAATGTATTTAAAATTTACATAAAAATATTATTAGGCATTGAAAGGCATTTAACCTTCGTATTTAACGCTATCTTTACTTAATAATAGTAATCCAGTGCGATTTTTTTATTATTGTCTATAGAATTAATATTTTTCTTCTAACAAGAAATTTTTCAAGGTTGACGTACTGTTCGCATAAAACAAAATGCGGAAAACAAAAATCTGATTTTTTGTTTCTCATATATATATACATCATATTTGCATTTTTACGTTTTAGAAGAAAAAGTTGGCCTTACGATCTGCATAAAACAAAGATATTTTTAAGATTTCCCCACTACAGAAATTGTATAAAGATTATCTTTATGTACGTGTAAAATAAAAAGTATTCTTAATGTTATGTACATGTAAATGTTAAAAAATATCTTCATGCAATATGTAACAAAGAATATTTTATCTTCGAACAGCAAGAAG